CTGGCGGCCCGTTGTCTTCATAGATGAGTGCAGATTCACACTGAGCACTTAAACTTCCGGGACGGTAGGGCTGTGCGATATGACGATATATATCGTTTGACGATAAGAAAAGCGGCTATCGTTTACAATTATACTCTTATCACTGATATTGTTTTGTCACAAATTCCACAATTTACCATAATATTTTGGTGAGGGAAAGTCACTTTGCACCGCGGCGATGTTAGCTTTACGTTGGAATTTGACATCTATCGAAAGTAAAACTAATATCCAAATTGAAACTAACTTCACCACGGTCCGTTCTTCCACACGAGCCGGTGTTTCAGAGAAGAAATTGCATTAAAAATAATGGACGAGCCACACAACACCATCCAGCAGTGCCAGCCATGATGAGTCAGTCAGGGATCGATTAATGACCCACGCACATACAGCTTACTTTATAGTTCGCCAAGACATGCTGTTGTTCTGGGACATTATATATTGGTGGTTTTGACACCGGCAAGTAGGCCCGCAGGCTGTCCAGGAGCTCACTGATCCTGGTTTACGAGGAGATCCCCCAGGACACCATTTAAGTGTTCGCCTAATTTTTTTGAGCAGTATATTTTCCTTATAGAGATAGAAGAGGTATAAATGTCAGCTGTCTGGCTGACAAAAACAAAATGTATGATTTGAACAAAAATATGCAATGCTGTCATGGCTGTGTGAATAGAAATAAAATATGTATTTTGATTCTAGATCTGCTGTTGTGGGTATAGTCAGGAGCATTTAGTATGATTGTTAAACAGTAACACTTCCTCTGTCTTTCACACACATCAGAAAACATTGTTTCATGCCAAGTAGAGGGTTGTACAAGCATGTCTTTTTTGAGACTATACCCGCTTGCTTCTTCTGCTCACACATGACCAAATGCCCTTTCAGACTTTTTCTTCTGCTCCCACGGCCCATTGTCACCACACCCACTCAGCAGTTGATCATATTTCATCAAATCATTTCTGAGTCCAGACAGACATTCTCTGTTAAAGATTCCCTTTTATGGTTCAATGTGTAGAAGACAACAGATTTACAAAAATGTTGCCAAGAAGCAGTTCGATGTTCAAGTGGGGAGCTCCGGCACATGAACAGAAGGCTGCCCTGCGCGCACCATGACCTCTTAGTACAACGTGACCGCCCATGACCACCAGTGGCCTTGGAAAATGAACCCTGTGCCGCCAACATCTGCTGTGGTTTCATAGGACTTGCAGGCCGGCTTGCCCTGCATGCGGAGACCTCTGATATGTAGCTCCAGGGGAGATTGTACACTGACAGCATCAGTGTTGTACTTATTGAACTACAAAAGACTGTAGACATCAACTGTATCTGTATCTCGCTGTACAGCACAGACATGCATTTATAATCTAGGAAATACTCTATTTTCTCATATAAACACTCTTTCCGTCCCCTAGATACACATGCTGGTCACCTAGAATGTGTTGCTTTCTCTATGGACATTTATATTAGCCTTAACAACCGCTATTGTTGGCACCTTTATCTTTTTTTTGTGTCTCCTCACCCTCTTTCTTTCTCTGTAGGGTTGTGAATGCTCCTTAGTCACACTAAGATTGGGCTATTCTGGTTTCTTGCTACAGCCTTTACACTGACCATTAGGGGGTAGTGGGAGAAGACGGTGTACGGGATTGTCATCAGGGGCCCATCCTGACTGGTCAGTGATGGGACACTTATTTTCAGAAGCATAGCACATAACGCCAGGATTTGTCCCTGGGAGTACTTACCTCCCCATTTGTGTGTCTGCGTGTGTGTGTGTGTGTGTGTGTGTGTGTGTGTGTGTGTGTGTGTGTGTGTGTGTGTGTTATCACACTTACCGCCACATTTAAGCACAGCGGCTACTGTTGTTTGGCCTTGTAAAATGGATCCTTGGGTAGTCATTTCCACAGCATGGGGCTTTTTACACTCAAACACACACACACACCGTTTCTTTGCATGGCTGGGTAGAAGGGCATCTGCGAGCAGCTCTCATTGAAAGCCCATGTCGCTGAAAGCAGGTGTCCTAACACACAAATGTACATGAGTGGCAATAAAGTTCATAGATGGGTAATAAAGAATACCTGTAATATTACTCTCACAACTGATACTGAAAAATTATGATCATCATTCTCAACATCCCCTACCTCATTTTATTTATTTTTTTATTTTTTTATCTTTCTGCCTTACAGTTCATCTGGCCTTTAGGGGTGAGTTAAGGACTTTATTTTATCTGTGTTTGTGTGTTTTAGTTGACTGCTCTAGCTCATTTTAACATAATGTGTCTGTCCATCTTTCTCCCACACACGTTTCTCTGGCTCAGTTTAATAAAGCAACACACACACCGACAGACACAGAGCTGTCTTTTTAATAGCGTGTCCGCCTGTTGATCCATCATTGTGGCAACCCATTTAAATGTTAAACGACCAGCACGGGGAGGTTCATCTATGCAAACAGCTTTTTCCATAACTGGATGGATTTGATAGAGTTCATTTAGCAAAGATGGCCACACCTTTTTACTAGCAGCACTAACAGAAAATGCACAGATGAGCACGCACCACTGTTTATTGTTTTAGTGTGAAGCACGGATATAACCACCTATCATAGCGGTGAGGCTGAGATAATGGAAATGTTCCATGAAATTGCAGTTTGCTCTTACAATTTGTTTGTGCCCTTGTCCACTTGTGTGTGTGTGTGTTTTAAGGCAGTCTTAGTTAATGAAAAAGAGAGACCTTGTACTGAATAGAAGCACTTTCTTTTTCTTCCCACTTGGTTGTAAAACCCCACAGAACAGTCAAGTATGACACCACACAATGATTTTTTAAAAACTTTCCTCACAGGCTGTTTGTTTGTCTGGTAAATTATCGGAGGAAGCCTGGAGGCCCTGCTTATTCATTGTTTTACAGGGAAATTGAGTTCATCACTCAGATAAACAACTTTGCATGCATTTGCATTTTGTTGTCAGATTCCATAAAACATCTCACAGCCCTGTGGGTGGTCCTGACCCCCAAGCTGAGAACTGCTGCCTCAAACTTTTCTGCAGTATAACAACAGCCGTCCTCTGCTCTGAATTCATTCTGGCGTTGGTTCTGTCCCGTGCTGAGTGCAAGAAAAAGAAATCATAAATTAAAAGGGAAGTTAAATCAGATAAATAAAGAATGTAGAGAGTGACAGCAAAAAAAAAAAGAAAAGTTGCCAAATCATGAACACTATTTTGGACAGGATCTCAGAAACTTATAAATTTATAATGTTATTCTGTGCAGAAAGTAGCTAATATTTCTCTTCTGGGTGTTTTGAAGTTCTTTCCAAGGTCGTGAGGCTTCCTATCAGGTCTGGACAGTCAGTCTGATGGGGGGAGTTTTTTCCAGCAGGGAAAACCGTTTTCTGCAGAGTAGAGGACTTTGTGTCGGCTTAACGCTGTTAAACCTACAATCCCCACAGACAAACACTGTCTAAACCTGACACTGCTGACCCACACAAACACACACGTGCGCACACCCACACAGACAAAGACGCACAAACCCGCAGCATGCACACAGACATGGACTCTCTGTCACAAGTACCTACAGTCATTCATGGATTTCTGGCAATCACGCGTGCACACTGTAATGTACATGTACATATAAATAGACAGTCATAGACAGAATTTTTTATTGCAAAGACAAACACTAAAATGCAGACCAAAAGAATATCCAGGGACACATTCGTACATTCTTCTACCTCCTAGATGCAATGACCATACTCTTTTCCTTTATCTTGTCTTCAAATATTTTATCCTGTATTGAATATTGATTAGGAAACATCTCTAGATGCTGTGCAGCTCAGCCTAACAATGATCACAATGGACGAATACGCAGCTTACAATTTAGTCCAGTGCCTATTTCCAACGCCTTCCTTTGAATCGTGACCACACTTATGGCATATCATGCATTTGCCTTGACCACACCTAAACTTCACTGAAATTACAATGCATGGATACCATATGAATAAGTTTGCATTTCCATGAAACGTCTCGATTTTGGCAAATCATGTATTTTAACAATCTGTTCTGGGACACAGTTGAACTATGATTTTCGAAAGTATCATTTCTCATGCAGATTTCTCATCCTTTTCTGACGAACCCACATTTCTTTTCTTGATCTATAAGTAAGACTAAAATGTTGTTAAAAAGTAAAGAATATTTAATGTTGACATCTAAACTTTCACAAATAATCTGAGCTTGAGTATTTGGAATGGACTAGTGTTTTTTTTGATAAATACTATTTGCGTGTCACATTTCAGTTTAGTCCATATGTAGTGCTACCACTCCCACAGGCTTCAAACACACACTTTTATCTGGCGGGATCCACTTGCTTTCTTTGTTTCTAGTGTTTTTCCCACTCTGTCTCAGGCATAGTCATTATTGCCATACCTCCTCGTTGATAATATGGTGTTTTTCACCGTCTGTCTGGGTTTATAATAGTAATTTTTTATCTATACAGGCATTCTTGTTTCCCTGTCTGTTTTACGATCTTTCTTTCCATACCCCCTCTCCTCTCACTACCTTTGTCTCTCTGGCTTTCTGTGTTTGCTGTATTCTCCAATTACCTCTTGAAAATGCACAGGTCATTTTATTGATATTGCTCAGCTGAGTGAAGAAAAAAGATGTGTATATAACAGCAGAAAGTCCAAATGGCTTTTTTCATTTTCCCTTTTTTTCTTCTTTGAAAACAGACTCTGCCTGCAATTTTTCACTCAGAGAAATTTAGCTGAAAAGCTCCTTGTGATGGTTTCTCTCAAATGGAAAAGCTTTTAGTTTAGCTTTTGGAGACTATTCAAGCCCAATGAGCTGACCTCTGTCTCCTCACCCTCACCCTGTCCCCACCTTTCTCTCATTCTCATCGATGTTTCTTCCCTTCTACCTCCATTACTCTCTCTCTTGCGCTCTTTCTGTCCTTTCTCTCTCCCTCCCTCTCTCTCTCTCTGTCTGTCTCTCCCTCTCCCAGAAGGACGAGGTGTCCCGTGTGCCGGGCTTTGTTTCCGAGAATGGGAAGGAGCAGCTCATGTTCGAGGTACCCCTTAATGACACCGGTTCGGCAGGGCTCGGCATCAGCCTCAAAGGAAACAAGTCCAGAGAGACAGGAGAGGACATGGGAATCTTCATCAAATCCATTATACATGGAGGGGCTGCATACAAGGTGACATAACATTCTCATATGTGCCCAAATGAGAAAAAAAAGATGCAAAAGACAAAAGCGTGTCCTAGAAAATACTAATTGGTAAATTTGGAAAGAAATGTAAGCCTCGCTTGAAGTTGGTGCTCTGACTTCTAAAATATTCATGCGTACACACAGACCTGTGTGGTGTTTAGCAAGCAGACTGAAATAGATGGAAACTGCTGTAGAGGCATTGTAGATAACACACCAGGGAAGTCTGGAGCTGAGGGTAGTCTGTGTGTGTGTGTGTGTGTGTGTGTGTGGTTGACTAGAGTCAGAGTCATAGAAAACGTGTGTGCAATGAAGTGTGTGTCAGTAAAGTTTTTGGTATTCTGGATTTATACTGGTTTGACTGAAGAGATATGCTCAGTGAGGGCTACATGCAAGTGTGTGTGTGTATACAGTAGTTCAGTGATTACTCCCATTACGAACGATCAGTCACTTGTGCCATAGCATTGTGTAAAAAGAGACGAATGGCATGATGAAACATCAGGAGACATCGTTGATTTGTACTGTAACAGTATTCAACATCCTGCTATCAATTACAAAGAGCACACAGTTACAGATTTTAAACTAACCATAGATATTTATGCACAGACCTGCAAAACATGCACAGGTCGGTAATCTAGTTCACTGAAAATGCACACAATGTTTTAACCCAGCTGGTGTGTGTCTGTGTGAATTTTATAGGATGGGCGTCTGCGTGTCAATGACCAGCTGGTAGCAGTAAACGGAGAGTCGCTGCTGGGACGCTCCAATCATGTGGCCATGGAGACGCTCCGCCGCTCCATGTCACAGGAGGGAAACGTAAGAGGGACAATCCAACTGGTGGTGCTAAGGCCTCCGAAGGTACACACATACACACACAAACTTAAACACTAAAGCTTGATTTGTACTCCTGCGTAGGGTCTACGTGCGTAGCTAGCCGTGCATTTATACTTGTGCGTCGATGTCTCTGTCGTTCTGCAATTACATCCCCAAACGTTAGTCGGCAGTAGCGCTACAGCGTCCACTGCGTTGACTTTTTGTCGGCAGGGCAGGCTTACATCCGGTTTAGCCCTCTGTTAACGTGAATGGGGGTAAAATTGTAAACGTGCGGCTGGTGTAGCCTTTTCAAATGTTATCGACCGAATGGATCACATTCTGATAGTGTAACAAGTCATTTCGCTCGGGTTGTGACTTCAAATATATTCATCCACCGTGTTGTTTTGGCCACTAGTAAAAGTTACTTCAAAGCATGGCACACTTCCTGTTGGCTCGGAGGCATTGCGAGGCTACCCAGCCAACCAATCACAGTGCTTACGGTCTGCGTCACCTCGACGTATAGTTATATTTTTGAAGAGGTTCACGTCAAACTACGGCATAGGTGTAGGGGTAGCTATGCAGAGGCTACGCCGTCGATTTGATGCAGAAGTATTATGAGTAACAATTCACCTGGCTCTGTGGTGAAAAAGGGCAACAAAGTACACGATGCAATCATCGGGATACAAGAGCACACCTCCCTGACGACAGACAGCTGTCCAAAGCTTACAAATCTGAGATTAAAATTAGCGTTTTGCTTATTTTAAATTTGTGAACTTAAATTCACCGTTGTGGGCTTATTGAAATTAGGAAACAAATGCCTATTGTATGTTTTAATATTCACTAGAATAACAAGTAGCTGTCTTGTGTGAACAGTTTCAATGGACACACAGTAAAGGTGAATCACATACTGCATTAAATGTGTCCATAATAGATGTCTATTGTCAGAGAAAGCCAGAATCTAGGTTAGGACACCTGCTGTGAGGAGAGGAGAGCACATGCATGTCTCTGTCACTTACCTAAGAAGAAAAACAAACATGCATGTTTCCTTTATCTTCAATTTGTATCTCTTCTTCCCTCTTTTGGCTCTTTACTGGCTAAGCCCCCCCCCCCGCGCGGTCTATTACGTCTGCCTCTTTCTACACATGCTGCTTTTTAGCCCTTCCATCTCTTCTTCACATACTTGACACTAGTCTCCTGCTCTTACCAGCAGCACGAAAAAGAGCATTTACACTTCAGCTATTCAGACTGTGTGTGTTTGTGTGCTTCTTTGTGCTCCTGTGTCTGTGTGTGTGTAGTGTTCATTCATTCAGCTGTATCTCTTCTCTTTATAAGTAAAAAAAGATGCTTTTCATCTCAGCAGTTTTTTTTTTTTACACAGCTTTGTAGGAGGTTTGTACAAACCCTTTGCCCGCACAAAGCTGGGTTGTTGGCTCAAGTGTGAATGGCCTTTTGCATGGCCTGCTAGTAGTGGAGGAAGAAAAGAGCAACATACAGTATTCACCCTGCATCACACACAAGCACAACAAAGACATAACAAACGTATTTAGGTGTATGGGTAGTTATATTACTCTGCTCTCACTGATATAAATTGGTTGGATGAAATATTTGCAATACTGTAGCTCGCAGTCTAAGACAATAAACTTCTATAGCATCAAAAATCACAGATGCCAGAATGATGATGAATTTGACTCCACACCTCTCTAAAGACTGAACATTATAACCTTCATGGAGGTAGGATTGAATTCAAGGCTGCTGTATTAAAGTGCTTTAGCTTGAGGTATGTGTGCCTAATAATAGAGTGCATGTCTGCATGCAGTGGTGTGCTTGGGCTTGCGGGGCTCAGGGCATCCCCTGTCGATAGCCTGACGGTGAAAGCTGTTAGCTACATCAAAGAGTTGCATCCATGTTCCCCTCTTTTGTCTCAAGAGTGGGAAAGAAAAGATAGAAAAGAAAGGAAGATAAAGGCAGATAGATAAGAGACTGTACCTTAAAAGCCTTTTCTGGGCTTCAGTATTGATGCTTTGAATATTACAGAAGAGGACCACTCTACTTTTTCCCCCTCTGATCTTTTTTTTTTTCCTCTTCTTTTTGTGTCCTTTGCCCTTTCTCTCACTCTGTTGTTCTTACTGTACTCATCTTCAGCCAGCTATCTCTAATTTCATCGCTTTATCCAGCAGCTTTTTACATTTCCAGAATAAATAAGTGTGGCCCTGCACAGGTCCCACGGACATAATCTGAGGCTTGAGTCGCAATATCTGAATGTCTAACTTTGATGCAAAATAAAGTCTTGCTAATGTGCTGCTTTTCCTCTCTATTTTACATTATTGTAGAAAGTTTTCCAGTGGTTTATATTAGTGATAGACCGATTTATTCGACTGATATCTGACATTTTTAGATAATCGGCATCGGCCAATACCTGCACTCATGAGGCTGATATATCATCCTAAATGACAGCAGATCTAATCTGAAACCATTACTGACTAGTGTTAAATATATATTGTTATACTGGAGAGATATAATGCAGTTTAATGACGTCACTTCTGACAATCCATACCCTACACTCCCTTAAACACCAGTCACATTCTGAATTCTACAGCATACCATTCATTAATAAATGTTCCATCTAAAACAACACTAGCTAACATAACCTCTAATCTATGTTAGATTGTACTCCGCATGAAATAATGACATTATACATGACTTTTCTTTGTTTTGATATCGGCATCATATATCATCCACCAGCCGCTCTGCTCTTTAAATAATCGGTCGACCACCGGTTTATATCACATAGTAGGCTATTTTCTATTTTACATTATCTTAATTATTCGCAGTTATTTTATTTTGTTGTTTAAATGTATCAGTTATTTAGATTATTTGCCTCCACAGTAAATACAGGATAACATCGTTACATAACATAAATATAACAAATGTAATGTAAATAGGCCATCCAGCTGAAGCTTATTTGCAGTCTCGTCCCTAGAAAGACTTTTGAGTTCAGGGAAAAACAACAAAACATAGAAAAACTGATTAAAGGTAATGTTATTCAGAAATGTTCCTAACACAGTTGACTATCTAAAAACAATGTTTTTATACCTCAGTAACCTCTTTTTGCTGTCTGAAGAAGCATTTGTTTTTCGAGAGTAATCTGATTGCACTATGACACTGGCTAATGGGATGTGTGCTGGGAGAGACCCGGGGAGGGGAGGGGGCCCACGGGACCTCTTAACACACTGAAGAGTGACGAGTCCTGGGTTGGAACCGGGGAGAAGCTGGGTGAGAGGAGGGAGCTGGTGCTCGGTGGGGGGTCAAGAGGAGGATGACAAGGAGGATTTATTGCACACACACAGTCCTGTTATGTCTTCTTTTTTGTTTGAGTGGAGGGCTGGAGGAGTCTGCACAGACAGGCGGATACACAAAAGTACACTGATCCACACCACCAAAATAACATACATATGTATACATGTTAATGAATACGTACTGCTTTCTACACACACACACACACAGAGAGAGAGGACAAATAAATGCAAATTAAATTCCTAAAGAAAGAATAAACGCACAAAGACACACATCAACACTGGAATGAATGCTTTGTTTGACTATTACAGGGCCCAAAGAGGGCCGTCCCTCTAGGGGATCACTATGACTGTCACTGCCACACACACACACACACACACAGAAAACTGAAGCAGTGGTGAAGACAGTTATAATCCTGCGGGCCGTGAGAAATGGGGTCCCCTCTTTCACCTTGATCCTCCACTGTATTTTGAGTGTCTCCCTCTTCTCTCTTTCTTCTGTGTCTTTGACATCTAATTGTGTTTGAATAGATCACTACAAAGCCCTCACTCACTCCCTGGCCATCACCTAATTTAAATGCAATAGACGTACCAGACACTTACATAAAAAAATAATACAAAAATCACACAAAAGCTTCAGTAAAAGTAACTGAAACATATATTTCCCCAAATGGTCAACGTTTTCATCAATATGATTCATGCATTTTTCAGACTTTCTTTCAAGCTTTTCGTGAAAAAAAAAAAGAAATGTGTTTTCAAAATGTTTTGGTTCCTTCCTTCCTGTTTTAGGATCAACACGGGGTGTCGCCCAGTCGCTCGTTTGACAGCTCCTCTGGCCTTTCAGGACTGGTGAGCCCAGTAAACGGTCAGACGGGATTGGTCAGTCAGACTAACGGCCCCATTCTCCCTCCCATGGTGAACAACACTCTCTATGCATCTAATGGTGAGTGGATTTTCAGTGTTTGGTCGGCAGGTCAACAGACATGACATTTGCATATAGCGTGATTTTAATTCCATATCCTGGAATAATCCCCTTTCTTGCCTTTTCCTTTTCCTCCCTGTGTCTTGTCTCTCTTGGTCGGTCACCTCAAACACAGTATGTAGCGTAGGAGAGGACGGTTCAAAGTCACCAACATCAGTATTGTGGTGAAGAAGATTTTCTTAAAGAATAGAAAATACTGACTGAAATGTCTCTGCTGCATCAATTGTCATGAATCGTCTAATAACAAAAGCTAGCATTGAATTCTCATTCACATTGTTTACATAGTCAAGTCAAATTTATTTAAAGTGTAAAATCACCAGCTGTGTGGTCCCAGTACACTTTACAGAACACAGAGACACATAAAGATTACAGAATTGGAAATCAGGAAAGTGATAATTTGACATTAAATGTTAGTGAGGCTATGTTCTTACATTACAGCTGATAAAAACTGATTGTGAAGTTTGTCAAATTTTGTGAAAATGAAAAGCGGTTCCCTGGAAAATCAAGTTTATATTCATCAATTGAAGGTAGTAACAAATTCACATTAGTACCAAAACTCAGGTAGAGTATTGGCACCTGTGTCAATAAAATGATACTGAGCCCAAAGTGAGCATACCCCCAGGGAGGTTAACCTTTTTATTTTAACAGATGCTGTTTTTGTGGCCCGCAATGTGCAATTTGTACTTTTAATGAAAATCAAGAGCTAAACTGTATTGACCCTAGACAACATAATGATCATTTTCTTTTGTAGTTAAAGGGTAGTATTTGTATTAAGCACAGTCTCCCTTTTAATGTTTATTAAAAACCCATAGGGCCATGATATAACTGTGGTAATCTACACTGCACATTATTTTCTTATATTAAAGAAAATGGTGTATTTTCAAGCATTCATTTGAGCCATGCTTACTGGCATTTGGAGAAATGCTGCCATACACACAAAAGCTAATTAGACCATTTAGACTGTCTGCACTTAACAGGGATGTCTACCCAAATGCTTTTACCTCTACTTTCAGGGCTATTTCCATTCGAGGCAGTGGTAGAGGTGGTTAGTATTTACTGGGGAAACCTTTTATGAAGTCGCTCACCACAAATTGCTTGGTTCTGATACATTTTGATCCAGAACACACTTTCCAGTGTAGAATAGCTACACAGACGGATCAGAAGTCCTACATTTGAAAAAACTCAGCTGTTCTTGCCCGACTCTTCCTCGTGAAATAGTGTTCCAGTTCATTCTGACCCTGTTCCATCCTTGATTTCAGCTGAACTTGAATCAATTTATTTTGTTTTTCTGATTAGGTTTTGCCATTGAACCAGCATCAAAGGTGGGCACATCATTTACAATAAGCTCAGTAAAGCACTGAATAAGTTTAATAATCATGAACAATACAATGTCTCCAAGATAAAACAAAATAAAAAACAAACATAAACAAAACAGATTTTACCATCTACACTGTAGCCTTAATTAGAGACTATTCTTCCGCCATTTCCCTTTGATTCCTCTCCCTAGCTCTCTCTCTCCCTGCTTTTATTTTCCTCTCATGTTTCTCAAGGTTGTTCTGTTTGTTTGTTTGTTTGTTTGTTTGTTTGTGCTTGGTTTGGCCTGTTATAAAGAGTTATTTTAGTTGTTCTTCTTTGTGCTTCGTATTGCTCTTTCTCGCTAACTCCGCTCCCATCCCTATATTATCTGTATGTGCTTGTGTGTGATCTGAGCGTGCTTGTCTGACTGTATACATGCTTGTGTTATGTTACCCCCAGTGCTGATATCTGCCTGTATGTGTAACTAAAAGTGTGTTTATTTGTGTATGTTTGTTTCAGAATGATATCTGTGGCTGTTTAAAAATGTGTTAATGGCTGCCGTGTGTGTGTTGGTTCAGGGACTGTTGGCGAGTATCAAACAGTGTTGTTTTTGTGTGTTTATACTGAATCTGATAAACTGCTCTGACCTTGAATACACTTTGCTGTTCAAATTCACTTCAGCTATGGTGTCATTTACGTGTGTATGTGTGTGTCTGTATACAGTAAGCACATTTCTCAGGCTCTGTGAGTTGTTGCATGTGCTGATGTTATCAATTAGTGTGTATATGTGTGTGTGTGTGTGTCTGTGTGTGTGTGTGCCAGTATTTTACTCTTCTAATGAACTATTTCACGTACTGAATTCATTTTATTTGGCATTGAAGTCCAAACGAAAATGAACCGATGTGAGCTTTTGCAGAAGAATAAATTGAGTTTAATGATTCTCTACATATGTATTTATGCAGATGTGTTATTTTTGCATTTATAGATCTCTCACTTTATCTCTTAGCCACTGCTGCATCTCATTCTTCTTCTTTCTCACTTTTCTTAGCACTTTGTCTCTTTGAACCCCACCCCACCCCTCTGGAGAGATCGCCGGATCTACTCAATAGGATGAATTAGATAAAATACAGTTTTAGTTTAGCTTATTAATTTTATGCAATCTTCCCCATTTTTGTCATCGAAGCATATTTAAATTGATTTTGTGATGGAACACGCATCCTTGTATGATAACGAGCCAACAGCGTATGTATTTTCACCAAAGTAGCACCGATTGTTCCCATAATTAGTTCCCATTACTCGTCATGGCTAGTACTACTCAGCCTGTAAAAAACTTTGTATAATGTCTTCTGTAGCTCTGGCAGACCTATGTCAAGTTTGAGAAAATGACCTTGATGATGTTAACTTGAGCTTGAGCAGTACAACATTTTGATTCCTGTGTTAAAAACATGAGGTGTAGAATTTAAAAGACAGGTAGAGTGTAATTAAAGATGCTATCAAATTGCATTATGAGACTTGTAGGATCTAGTGTTTTTAGAGCTTGTCCCATTCTTGGGACTAAATTTCAGGCTCTACATCAATCTTGACCATTCCTGTTTTTAATGTCTATGTTGCAGTAACAAAGTACTCATTTAAAACCAAAATTACATACAGCAGAGACCTGATATTTACATGAGAAATTACATTGTGTTGGTTGTGATTGTTAAACCGTCGTAACTTGAGTAACATTTTTCACAGTACTTTTTGAAAAATAACAAAACTCAATCAGTAATCAAAATTGGTGTCTGTGTTAAAGGGAGGATAATGTCTTTGGAGCCTCCATTGATTTAAAAGTCACGGTCAGCTCATCGTTCTGTCTTGGATTGTTGATAAAAGCTGATGCATATTTTAACGATACGGGCCCTTGTTTTTCAGACTGAGAAGAAGGTAAAGGGAATTAACACAGGTCAACGGTTGCAAGAAAAGTAAAAATGTTGACACACTGGTCCAAAAAGGGGAAGGGTGGAAGTGATGGGGAGTAAGAGTGAGGGAGTGAGAGGATGAGACAGACAAGTTGTGGACAAGTAAAGATGATAGGAAGAAAAAAGTTGAGTACAGAAGATTAATATACTGGATCTGCTATTGGCGCAAACTGCTATTGATCTATCATCAACACAGCAAATGCCTTTTGTACATCAAAGAGTGGGAGTCAGAGAGAGCAGATGTGTGTGTGTGTGAGGTGAGAGACGAATGGGTTTTTGACAGTTCAGCTGATTAAGGTGCTGGCAGTGAGAAGGAGAGAGGAAGTTTAGAAGGGGAAAAAAGGCTGAAAACTGAGTGGGAGATAAAATGATTTATGGGAGATCTGAAAGGAGAGATAAATGACAGCCAAAATATCAGATTGCAAGAATGGGACCAGAAGAAAAATAAAGCAGGTGATTAGTGTAGAGAGTGAGAGGGGAGGGATAGAGATGAGAGGATGTGATATCTTCAGACGCTGCTGTTTTCCTCTCCAGCTCCAGTATCTCTGCTTCCAGTCACATGTGCGGATGCAAGCACATAAGGGACACGCAGTGAAGATTGTGCAGTAATCCCAGCATGTGTTGTGTGGCAGCTACGCACTCGGAGAAGTGATGACTGTATGTAAATTGTGCTTGGGTGGATTGTGTGTCTACGTATCAGTGTCATAAGCTCGTTCATCAAGCAGACGCAGCCATATCGCTGAGCTACATCTGCAGCAACTTCTGCGGACGTAGAGCTTCTGCTTTTGCAGTTTGCGGTTTTCATCCTCTTTCTTTCTGTTTCCCTTGTAGTTTTCCTCATCCAGCTGTTTATCTTTCTCTCCATCTCAGTCTATCTTCCTCTTGTCTTTTACCCACTTGAAATTTTCAAGACCATTTGAGTCAACGAAGCTCTCAAATTAGTTTCACTTTGTGAAGTGTATGAAGTCTGTTTATAATAACAAATTAACAGAGTCGTCTGTTCTTGGTTTAAGTGTTCATCCGCCCATTTTTCTTGTATCAAATAACCACTTCCTGTAGGCTTCAAAGGAGGCTTCGCAAACCATGGCAGCTGTGGTCAGCTTTAATTGATGGCTTTTTCAACGGACACTGATAGTGACCATTTTTCACCTGTTGTGGACAAAAGTATCAGGTTATCCTCAGAAACTTCTGAAAACACTCGTGCAGAATAGTCCCCTTTATTTCTCTTCACCTGCTCAGGACGTTCGTCTCAATCTTCACGCAGGGCCCTGTCATGCTCGCTCAGTCATTGGCTAGCCTGTTGAGATGTCTGCGGTATGTTTATTCATCTGAATTGTAGTTTATGGACACTGAGTTCAGGTTACATTACTTTTCTTTCTTTATAAACAAAACTAGAAAGACTTGAAATTATTACCAACTGCTGACATTTCCCCCCCCCACTTTTCTTTATCTTTGCGAAATGTGACACAGTAAACTGATCTTAAACTTCTAGTCAGCGTAGTTTTGTCCGTAGGCAGCAGAGGGCCTGGCAAGCCGATGAGCGAGTGGCGACAGAGCAGTTCTCCTGACCACTGGACACTAGATTAAAAAGGAAGTGTGTTCTTCTGTGACAAATGAATAGACAGTGGAGAAATGTAAAGTAAATTGCAGCTGCTGTGTTATTAAAAATGTTTCTGACCTGCTGCATCATATCACCACTTGTCTCCTCCTCAATGTATTTTTTGCTTTTCAGTGACCAATGGGAGTTATTCTCACATGGATGAGGAAGAGGACGGGGAGCTGTATGGACAGGAAGCAGAGTTCAGCGGCTCTACCCAACCCTCCTATCTACAGGAAAGGTGTGTGGTGGTGAATGTTTTTTTCTTACAAATCCATGCAGAGTACTTAATATATGAAGGATTTGCACCAGAACAAATGATACATGTGGAAACAGTAGTCTTTATATAGAAGCACTGAGAAGCAAACATTTTCCTTCAAGTCATCTCAGTTAGTAAGTTACATAAATTAATTAAGTCAAAGGGATTTTGTTATCGTGGCTTTTATTTTGTCATTCATTGTTGAGGCTCTCCCAACAACATCGTATGTAGTGACTCTGTAATACATTTGTTCCAGGGATAACTCTCACACCTCTAGCCTGGCTCAGCCCCAGTCTCCTACCCAGAACCTGAGCCAGCGGCAGTTCCAGCACGTTAAAGCCTCCAAGAGCATGGACCTGGGTACGGCTCAGAACCAGCAGCACACTGGTGGGGAGATTGTTCCGTGTTATCTGCTCTGCATGTTGGCTGCATGCATCTTATCCTCACAGGAATTTAAATATTCGTGCTGATGCATGGCTGCTGCACCAAGAGCATGCCCCTCAAAGCCACATGCAGAGCGACACCTCTGCAGACATGCACTGCATACTATACAATCACACACACATACTCACAGCTACACATGCAGGTGGAGACCCATTTAATGCATGATATCTGCACTTGTGGAATCAATTTTGTCTGTGTGTTTTGTTCGTGTCTACTTGTTTGGGACAATAGGTTATAGTTTGGTCTTTATCTGGTGCAGTCATCACAATAACGTGCATGTTTCTGTTTTTGTTTGTATCCGCATTTGCACTCGCATTGAAGTCTGACTATTTAAAACATAACCCAATGATATAACTCATTTGCTCCATTGATATCAGAAGGCAGTTCTTATAAGAAAGAAGATTTGTATCGCAGAATAAAAAGGGTATAGATGACAGGTAACAGAGAGGAAATATAAGTTAACATCGAGATTGAGGCATTGGGACAATTGTCTCTTTGCCGTGCACTGCTTTTCAATGGCTGCTTCAGCACAACACTCTGATCTTGCTGTGCGAATGACACGCTGTGACTCTTTTTCACGTCTAAATCTACAGTTACCCAACTACTCCCTCTCTTTCTCTCTCAAATCTCACATGTCTCAGCTTCATTATGGTCTCTAATTTATGAAAAAGAAACAAAAAAAGAAAACAGCCAGAAAGGCTACTTCAGCTGCCTCTGTGATCCCGCTTTGTCACCTGTTGCTGATATGCTGATATGCACGGATGCGAGAGTTCGGTGACATTTCAGTGTTTCAGAAGTCAACTTTAGAAATACGCGTATGTGTGTAGTTATGTTTGTGCTCATGCATATATCTGTGTAATATGACAGCGGATGGTGCAGCGCAACAAAAGCTTATTGTTTCAAATGTCACTTGCCTCAGTCCTCCTCCTCCACGCCAGCAGTGTTTGTGTGAGTGAGAGAGAGAGAGACGGAGACAAAAGAGCAGGGCTCTATTTGAATGGCACGTACATCCATTTCTACTTGAATAACAGACTGATGGTATGTACTGTATGTCTGTATTTTTACACACTAAATGTTTGACAAACATTTCATCATTGCTGGAATGTCATGATGTGTTTTCATTGCAGCAGTAATAACAGCTTATTAACAACTGTGTCTGTCTTTGTTTTTCTTTACTGACAGCAGGGGCGTAGGATTAAGATGTTGTTTAATATCCAGAAAAAAAGTAAAGGCGGGGGGGGACCTTACATCTTCAGGGATAAATGTTATCCCTTTAGACTAGACTGAAATCCTGCTAGATCTCCCTCTGCAGTTTTGTCTAGTTCCCAGCATACCCTCTGTCTCTATAAAGTTCAGGAGAACAGACTGCTCCCACATCACAACCAAGACAAGAATGCTGTGGCTAAGAAGGTGTACACACTTTAAGAACTGGATGAAAAAAAGTACACAAAGCTAATTTTGTTCAAGTCAAAAAGTCATGGCAATCTCTCTGAGGTTCGTAGGGGTTTGTACAATGCTCTAAGTTTTGTCAGAACAGGGGGAATGTTCTGGAAAGAAATGTACAGTACAGCGATTATAAGAGACACTCGAGCCTCCTGAAGTCCTGCTATAATTACCACAGCATATTAACCATAACCAGGTTGCTAATGATTTGATAAAGTCAGCTAACTTGAGCATCAATTAGTAAATATCTCTTTGTCAGCTTACTTGCGTTTGCGTAACCATATGGAAATCAGATTTTGCTCATTAGTTTGTAAATGCTTGGGGTTAGTCTTTTAAAATCATGAGCTCTGTAGGGGAACATGTGGCGTAAACATGAAGTTTTTAGTAATGGTAAAATATATTCTCTGTCATCATCCATGCCATGTACCATTATAGTGGGATGCATAATGTAAAGTTTGAGAGGCTCAAATCAGTGGCAGAATTGTTTAAATAAGGACAGGACTCATGTGGCTCTTCCATCTAGAAACATGGTCACTGACTATCTTTTTCTTTTCAGTATCATAACCATTCTGTGTGTGTGTGTAAAGAAAAAGAAAGGGAAAAACAGACAGAAAGCATTGTCAGCATTTAATTCATGGGTCAGTTACATAATTTAATTTTTATTTCATTTGTCCTGATTTCATTTTCCAAACCAGCCCAATTAAAAATGTAAGAATAAATTAAGATTGGTTCCAAATTATGATCTCCCTCCCTGGATCCCGCTGTCCTTCCTCAGTCTCTCCATCTTTGTCTCCTATTCTCTCTCCCTGCCTTCGACCTCTGTCAGTGTTTGTCCCTCCCCTCGTCTTTAGGTTTTGTTCTCAGTTTTCATTCAGACTCTTTCTCTGCGAATATGAACAGAACAGCGTCGGTTCTCTAACGCTGTTCAGGACTAATGAGAATGAATTCCATGTTAGTAATTGTGTTAACTCCAACTTGATTTTGGGAAGAAGTGGCAGGCCTAGTGTGTTTGTATATGTGTCTTCATGTTTGTATCTTTCTGAGGCTAATAAGACGCCTCTGTGCGTCACACACGAGGCATCAACGGATCTGCTGAAGTAGGCAGTCTTATATGCGCACACATACTCACAGTGATCCACAAACTACTAGGCCGCCGAAGCAGTCATGTTGATTCACCGCAGACAGATGCTGTCAGGCACACACACAATGCTAGAGTTACACTTTAGGCTTGTTTTTCATTAGAAAAGTATTTGCTGGGAGAAGCCATGCCACTGCTTGGTTTTTGTGGTCTGAGCGCGTGTGTGTGTGTGTTTGATTGCTACCAGTCAATGTGTTCCTTGTTGGCATTGGCCTGCTCTGTGGCTTTATGAAGGAGGAGGGAGAAAGGGCTAAAGACTGGGGAGGAGGTAGAAAGTGAGAGGAACATTAACACGGCGCGATGATGGAGAGAATGGTGATCAAAGGAGGGAAAGATGGAGCAGAGCATTGCTGGATGAAATGGGTGTAACTGAAGAAAAAATGAAAACATTGAGAAGAGAAGTGAGGGTGAAAGGTGAAAGGGATAGATTGAGGAGTTGAGACAAAAAAAGAGAGAAAAGGAGGTAAGAGACTGGAGAAGAGAAGGGAGGGTGAATGACAAATGAAGTGAGAGTGGAGGGAGGAAGGGAAATGACTTCAGTAGCGGGAAGCTGACATAACATCACAGTGAAAAAGAGCAGCTACTCCGCCATCTTGTAAAACAGGACAGAAAGAATAATAGAGAATGATGGAGTAAGAAGGAGAGGCTGATACGAGAGTGTGAGGGAGAAATGTAAAAAGATTAAAACAGGTTTTAAGTTTTTAGGGTTAAAGAACATATGGAAAGCAGATTGAACTTTGCACATTTGGCAAGTCAAGGGAAGGGAGTGATCTTTACAGCAATGGAGAGCGAGTGAGTTTATGTACTGCATGTATATTAACATGTTTCTTTTGTTTCAGTGGCAGATGAGAGCAACGTTGGATCCCTGGTTGGAAACACTGCAGGTAGGACAAACTACACCTGCACATGATCAATATGATAGACAGAGAGAGACACTGAACAATGCATATACTTTTACAAATTGCTGCCTACTTTGCAAAAAAAAAAAAGGTGTCATTAAAAGATGGCAAAAACCAGGAAAGGATGGGAAAAGAGCGTAGGAGGCAAAGAGATGAACTCCCAGACAAAACAATTAAAGAGCAGTAAGAAGCAGAAGCAAAGAAAATGGTTGCATTGACCTGAAAATAATTGATAAATCAGCCACATGATGCACAAATTGCATCATGTGGCTGATTTATGGTTTCCATACACACACGTACAATCTAGTGTCTTAAAGATACAAGCCGTTCTCTGTCCAGTTTGACTTGTGTTTTTTCAAATCAGAACAACCTCTCCTCTTTCTATCACTTTACTGACTTCTCTCTCTCCACCACATCATCATTATCATCTGTGTTCACTGTCAAGTCACTATATACCATGTCCCCACCTTTTCTTTTCCCTCTCTCCACTTGCGTCCTGCCTCTCCTGTCTTCTATGCACTTGGCTTCTCTCTGCCTTCCTCTAGAAATACCTCCTTGATTTGCCCGAAGTGTCTTATCAAAGACCCGCAGACAGATGAGCTTGTTCTTAAGGCTAAGAGAGAGAAAGAGACAGAATGGAAGAGGACACACTCATCTAAAAGGAAAGCAGGGGAACAGAGATGACTGATGCTTCAAAACCGCTCACCTTAGTTGCATTCGCACACTTCAAAACTTTCAAAGTTTGATGGCAGACTTTTCTTTTTCACTTTGCCTTGAAGTCTCCTCCATTTCGTTTGTAGCTACTTGAATGTAAGAGCACTCTACTTTATTCCACAATATGTGTCTTGCTATCTGCCACTTTATTGTTGTCAATCAGTCCAACCTTTTTCCACATTTTGTGCTCAGTTTTATACATGGTGGTGTTGACTTTTATGTGTCATGTCCATAATCATTCTAAACTGAGCAGGCAATATAAGGTATCAGACAAGATATGGAAAGAATGCAAATCAGAGTTTTAACATTGAGTAAGAACAGTGAGAGCGAAACCCTAATAAAACAAAAATCACTCCTCTAACAGCTGAGAAGAAGTTGAAATCATATTTTTTCCTTTTCAGTTTTCCGTCTTGGATTTGGGGCTAAAGTGTAACTGTACTCTAGAAAGCACGCTCTATGAGCCAGAACTTGGGACAGTAGTTAAATGTGTTCTGGACAAGATATATACTGATGTAAAAAGGAAGGCAGGCGGAACATCTGGTACAGGAAAAGAGGATTACCTTAGACGGATTGAAATGGTAAACATGGAGAGGTACGGCTTTGTGGGAAGAAAAAAAAGAAAACAAAACAGAAACACTGTGCAAGTCTAGTGTCTAAGGCTCTGGTTGCATATTCCTGTAGGTTTTCAAAACAAACCTTTTGATTGCCAGAAAAACTGAATGTGAACATCTGTTTATGTTTTTGTCTGCTTTTATTAACTATGACGACATTTACATGGCCTTGTTCGCTGTCAGAAGACTGTAAAATGGAAAGACCTTAAAAAAAATATGAATTCCTTACCGGTGTAAAATGAAATCAGTCCCATTGTCAGTGACATCCTTTGTTTTCCAGTACATGGAGAGCACATTTTCTCTTATTGACAGACCTGAGTGACATAAAGCAAGCTAGTGAAATAATGCTGGGAATTTGGATTGAACAGTAACAACCTCCAGATTTAAGCCTAGTTCGCTATACACGTTTTTAAACCGGATTTGCATGTCGCAGAGCTCGCTGACAAAAACTGCCAGACAGATATCTAGCATGCTAAATATCCGGAGCTGTCGGCGACCTCACATCCTCTGGTGTGAAAAGTGTTGTCACTGGCAGTGATTGCCGCGACGAGCTACAGCCAATGAGAGTAGGCAGTTCTTTTTCATTACAAAACACTTTTTTACTAAGCTTTTCTTTTTTCCTGAACAAATCATCACGCAAACAGCTTGCATTGCTCGTTTCTTCCCTAAATCTATTTTCAAACGCAAGTGAGCACAATATAAACTTATATACAGTATATTTAAATTCAAAGTCTAACTAGATTTTGATACAAGAACCCTCTAAAAGATAGGACCATAAGATTAAGAAATAATGCAGGGCTCATCTTATTTGATAGTGTCCTTTAGTGCTGCAAATAACCGAGTAATTGTAACCAAAGTGATACATTGTGAACCTGAAGTTTAAGTACCTCTGGGAGTCTCAACAGTCCAGCTTTGTAATTGAGGAATATGGGGCAATATGTGGTACATTACAGTATTTTCTGTAATTTCTTTTCCTTTATTGTTACAGCTTGATTTTGTATCTAGAACACATACTGCAGAACAAAAATAGGGTGTAATTTTACTGACTGAAATCTTGGACTGGGACAGACAACATGACAACTTAAGCAAGTTTAACTGAGGCTTTTTATTTGCTGTTGCAGTAGCTGTTATCAAAGAATCAAAATTTTCATGCATTTTAGGTGGCAGTGATATCAGAAAGTGAAAACAGATTTTTCCATCCACAAATCAGACCATGGTTTCTACCCTTTCTAGTTTTAGCTATGTTTCCCCCAGTAATAAGCCTGTTGAGCACCCAGTAAAGCCTTTAAGAGCCTCTATCATTTTTTCCTTGTTTGATTTCCAGACGTTTTTGTTTTTCTTTAACTCGAGCCTATTTCCTTTACCTGTTGCTTGTCAACATGTCTCCTGTTTTATAATGCCACGTAGCCCAGAGAGCTGTTAAACAGAGAGTGTGTCTGGCAAGCGTGGCAGTTTTTTCCAACCCACTTTCGTTTGCTCTAATGTATTTTTTATAACTGAAATGTGTCCAACAACCCAGCGCTGAGACGTCAGACAGCTGCATGGACTTTGGTGAGAGAGAGAGGGGAGGGGGAAAGACAATGACTTCTGGGAACGCTGTTTTCACTTCCAGCAATGGTCTTTCCCTCCACACCCCAAGAAACCACAGGGCAACTACACCACAAGTACACACACGCTCACACTCACACATAAAATTATTACCGTTATGGTAATGGAAAGTCTCCATCATCCTGTGGAAAATGTGAATCTTGGAAGATTTCATATTATATTATAATTTTGCAGAATCTGAGATGCAAAGTGATGGAAATGGGAGACCACATTGCAAAGCATGCATGTGTGGAAACCTTCCCTGAAAATGAGCGGGTGTGTGCGACTGAGTGTGTTGTTGTGACTAAATGCATTTCCCGTGTGTGGAGGATGCAGCTGAGCGAATTTTGTGGAGCTCCCTTCAGTAAATTGAAAAAATGTAGATACTTGTCATTAATAAAAACTTTGCTGCATCAGTCAAATCTTCAATTCAGCATTCAAGTATCAACACAGAATAGGACACCATATAAATGCACCGTTTGAGTGTGTCTGTGTGTGTGTTGGGCTTTGTGGTCAGACATCCCTGACGTCTTTGTGGTGGCACAGAGAAATAGGAGCTCAGTCATCCCAATAATAAATTAAATCAGCTGTGGAGTAGAAAACATGTGAAACACAGTATAAAGTAATATACAGTATAGCTATACACACTTGAACAGTGTTGTGGTGAAAAAGTAAATCTTTCATTCCATATCTTTCTCAAGTGTAGACTAGTGTTGTAATCAAGACCGCCCAAACCAAGACAAAGTCAAGACCAAGACCAGAGTTTATCTAGACCGAGACAAGACCAAGACCAGAGTTTATCAAGACCGAGACAAGACCAAGACTTTTAGGGGCTGAGACCAGTCGAGACCAAGACCGAGGCAGGACGAGACTGAGTCAAGAGCAAGACCAGTTCCCCACATTACATGACAAACATTAAAATGTTAAAATGAGATCACAGGTACTTCTCACATTGATCTGAAAGATCCTTAAAACACCCACATATAAACACTAAGAGCAGAAATTAACGTAATCATCGTGGTTAACCGGAACAACACATTTTAATTAGGGTTATTGGTTGCATTTGAAGCAATACGTTTTACATCCAATCAAAGTTAAGATGTTAACAAATAAATCAGACGATGCAAAAGTAATTTATTGATATTCTTTAAGTTATGGTCTTGACTGGTCTTGAAATACAATCCCGAGTCCTCAATGTCCGAGCCCGAAACAAGACCGAGTACAAATGTGTCCGGTCTTGAGTACTACAACACTAGTGTAGACTGATTCTCTCCTCAAGCCGCTTTAAATAGGACAGTACAGTCAAACACTCTGCTGACGGGACATAAAACAAACAGTTGCAGCTGTGTTTCTTTCACTGAGTTTTCCTTTGGTGATGAGGACAGCCCGGAGCTCCGTGTGTGTGTAGATATATTTATATAAATATATCTACACACAGAGCTCCACACAGCTATATCTGTGTGTGTGTCCCAGCATCAGTGTATTAGAGATGTTTCCTTGCTAAAATAAAAGGTGATCAATGAATATCCCCAGGAATGATAAAAGGTTGTTGGGGAAAAAGGAGAAAGTGGTGATCTGTGTGTGGGTGTAGGTGTGTGGGTGGTGTCAGGTGAGTATGTGCGCATGTTTACAAATGTCTTCAGTTATGCGCGTCTCAAAAGGTGCGTGAGAATGTTTAATAGTCGCAACACAGGTGCCTCTCCAAGAAGTGGCAACTGGTCTCATTTTGTAGAATAATTCAAATGTTTCTATACTTGTGAGGACACACACCCATGCACAAACATTTCTCATGCAGTAAAGTGGTGTTACGAAAACGCTCAGTAGCCAACATGCTTGTCTGCTTTTGTTGTAGTTTTCTGTTTTAATGCCTTATTTTGGTTCTTCCACCCACCAGCAGCTCTCTCTCTCTCTCTCTCGGTCACTCTCTTGCCCTATCTTGCTCACTCACTTTCTTGCCAACGCCATTCAGGCTTAGACGCTGACAAGCAGGCGATGGAGCTTAGAATGAACAACATCTCTCTGAAAATGTGTGTTTGTCTGTGTGTGCGCGTCAGGGGGCCAGTGTGATGCTGA